AAACCTCGAATGCATACCCAAATCACTTGCAAGCCACTCACATTAATTACATCAAGGTTTTATGCTATTAGGGGAACACGAACTCATAACGTGCGAATTTATGCCTCGCTGTTTATTTGACCAGTGAACCAAATTGTGCAAGAAAAGAACTAGTTTTGAAGTACAAAAGTAGTATCTTTTTTTTAATACATTCAAGAAAGGGGAAAAATTTCCTATGGCTTCCTAGCATGGGAGAGATTCTAGTTAAATCTCATAGCAACGAGCACAGATCTTGTGGTGACTAATCCAGCTTCATATAGATGAATATTAGAGGCTCCTTATATTGTCTAGCATATCAGTACACAAATTTATACCCCCTACCCCCCCCAACAATAAAAAATTTTTTGAACATTAAATTTTGTACTACTAATGTAAAATTTGGGTAAATTTGAAATTTTTTCGAAAAAGGGTAAAATAATAATTTGTCACTATCATGCGGAATTAAAATCTATATTTTCTAGAGTTCGGAAGACAAAACGGACCTCACTGTTGAATTCATATCGTGAAAATCAAGATGCCCTATCAATTTTCGTCGAATTTGAAAATAGTCGGATTTACACGTTTTACAAGACAAATGAGTGACGAATGACCTCACAAAGGTTCCCAAAAATAAATTTTATAAAATTTCCTTATAATTGAAAAAAGTTCAACTAAAAATAATTTGAACTTAAACCATAATATAATTTAGTCATTTCAGGACAAAAACAAACCCGAAAGTAGGAAACTTGCAGTGCAATGCAGACCGCGTAATTAAAGGGTATAAATATCGATAAAAATCAAATTTTTTGGAGGAAATATCTTCTCCATTCAGGCTGTAAACATGTGAGGAAGAGAGGAGAGAGAAAAGAGAAGAAAAACTTAGATTTCAAGACTTCTCTTAGCTATCTACGGAGTTCCGTCGATCAGAATCGCTTGAACTAAGAGTTAGGGTTCTTTTCATTTACGCTCCAAGAGGTAGGATTCCTCCTACTTTGGTTCATTCTTACCTAAAATGTCCTATGGAATGGGTAAAGGGTATATAATAACCTAGGTTGCTTGACAATGGTTATGGAAATGAGGAAATGGGTATGGAATTGGTCTAGACAATCTCCTAGTTAAGTTTGGTATAGGTAATTCACACGTGGAAGAACTTGATATGTGTTGCCATGGTGCCTTGTGAATGATGTGGACCAATTTATGTGATAACATGAATTATTTGCTTTGAAGGTGTTTGCTAAATGCCTATGTGGAATTAAGTTGTTATGGCATGAGTTTTGTATAACATGCTACGAGTTTTGTTGAGCATAAATGAGTGGAGATATGTTGTTAATACATTAACATCATGATAATTTATGGTAATTATATGAAATTGATATAAATTTTCATGACATATGTTAAAATATGTGGTTAGATTAGCTCATATGACTTCATTACATATGGAGCATAAAATAATATTGCAATAGTGCATTGCATTGCATTTGCACGAGGGAAATACATCCATGGCCATGAGTATGGGTGTGTGTGTGTGTGTGTGTGTGTGTGTGTGTGCATGGTTGGATCAATTATCATACTTGATGATTGATGATGGGCTCGGAAAAGTTGGATTGAAGATCCGACTGAGTTGCATGGTTGCATAAAAAAAAAACTTGTGTCGAGTATAGCAAAAAGGGATAGATCATCTCTCGGATAAAAGACCCGGCTACTTGGTTCATACATTCCTCTGTGGTGAAATTCTGAAAAAGTGTAATGGCATACGGAGCCGGCGATGTGATTCTAGAATCCGATACTCAATAAAGACATGTGATTTTGTTTTACAACTGGTCATTTGATGTGTATCATCCAACAAAATTTTGTTTTATAAATACATGACCTTTATTTCAAAATGATCATTGTATGAAATTCATCAATGATAGATTTGTTACACATTAGCATTGCATTGTGTTGCGGAAGCCGGTGAAGGCTCGGGGTTAAAGTGCATGAGTGAGTGTCATCTCATATCATGACATGGCATGGTAGAAAATTTCATCTTGAATGACATATTTTTGTATGGAAATAAATTATCATTGTTGATGGTGCATGTGCACATTTCATATGCATTTAGGGGGAAGTAGCCTCTGTAGCAAATACTCTACTAGGCGTAGCTCACCCTATACGGGAAAACGTTTCAGGTGCGAGGTTCACACCGGCGGAGGACTCTCATTCAGGGCCTCAAAGATGAAGAAAAGTCGACTTGTGGCTTTTGTAGCATATTCTGTGTAATCTTTGTAAAAATTATGTTTGTGAGCAAGTAATCGTGTAAATGGATTGTAATAGACCTTGTTTATATCAAGTTTTATGTGATAAAACATCATTATACATGTTTTGGATGGAGTTGGAATGATTTTGAATGGATTAAAAATTAGAAGTAGGTGAAAAGGGCAAAGATGGGCAGAGAGTACCAGTACTACAGGGTCTAGTGAGTTTACAGTACCAGTACTACAGGGTCCAGTGAGTTGCTGACAGTACCGGTACAGTCTGGTCCAGAAGGCAAAGAGTATCGGTACTGATTTTCCATAAGGCAAAAAGTACTGGTATCGCATACTGGTACTGATTTCCCCAAGGGCTCACAGTACCGGTACTCAATACCGATACTCTTTCCAAAATTTTAAAAATTTAAAACCACTTTGTCAAACTTTTGGGCTATGGTTCTTAGGTTCCAAGGATATAAATGGACTATAATGGAGTATGAATAGTGATACATTGCACCACGGTTGGATCAAAGGATAAAATGAATATGGGTTTTACATGTGGTTCAAAATCCCGGTAAAGGGGATGTTATTAGCTTGAAGTCGAGTTGTGCGACTATCACGGATATTTTGGTAAGTTGACAGTTGGTCAACGGTTAATAAATGACCCCTAGTTTTAGGAACGTCACAACTAAAGCNGTTGTGCGACTATCACGGATATTTTGGCGAGTTGACAGTTGGTCAACGGTTAATAAATGACCCCTGGTTTTAGGAGCGTCACAACTAAAGGCTTGTCGTGGATTGTTTATCCTTCCTTCTTTTGTGATTAGATTAAGGGCCTCAGTAGAGTCTAATTTCAACGTCAAGCTAGAGTAACATTCCATTATTAGATACCTGGAGATTAGTAGTTAAGTTATCGATGTACCTTATTTGTCGATGAAATCCTTTGATCCTTAGTTCTCTCTTATCTCTAATTTAGTATCAAAGCAAGAAAAGCACAAGAAATGGGAGCAATTTTTACTTGAAATATAAAAGAGTGAGTTGTAATTTCAACTTTCATGATAATACCCAATTTCTTTTTTTGGACAAATTATATTTTTCTCCATTAAATTTTATCCCAAATCTTCTATTTGGTTTGCTTAAAATATTTAAATTTCACTTTTATTTTAGCCTAGTCCCTCGATCGCATTTNTGAGAGAATTTAATGTTGAATAAAATTTCAAAGTGATAATAGAATGGATTCCCCGGCAGATCGCATAGCACATGAACCATTTTTTCAAAATTAGGTTCGTCGGCTCTCCACGAAACCTGTTAATAATCGGATCTCTCATAAATTAAACATTCATTTGATATACACACTAGCGAAACTAGGTGAAAATCTTCAAATGTGTGTCAACAAATTATATTTTTTTTAGTTTGTATATAGTAATAATCAATCCAACAACAATCAACTTANTTTCTTAATATTTTGGACAAAAATTGGCACGTGGTTCACTTTTGCTTTTGTAAGATATTAAAATTTTTGAGATCTTATTTAATTCAGTATTAGTGGGTATTAAATAGCCCACAAATTTAACATTCAGCTTTCAAATTTTAATTTTCAGNATCGCATTTTCTTAATATTTTGGACAAAAATTGGCACGTGGTTCACTTTTGCTTTTGTAAGATAATAAAATTTTTGAGATCTTATTTAATTCAGTATTAGTGGGTATTAAATAGTCCACAAATTTAACATTCAGCTTTCAAATTTTAATTTTCAATTTTCAAACTTTAACTTTCAGATTTATAAAACACTAATTTTTCAGTTTTATATAACACTAACTAAATCTATACCTATCTCTCTACAGCTAACAAATGTCAGGTTGAAAAAATTTGATTGATCAATATGACCCTTACTAAAATAGTTAAAAACGTGTTTATTGCTTAATAACTTGAAAGGACATTAATATTCTTTCATACTTATAAAATTTAATTAACACTACTAGTGGCCTTAAACAACCGAAAAAAATAAATAAACCTTGATTTATCTCTATTTTTACGANGAAAGGACATTAATATTCTTTCATACTTATAAAATTTAATTAACACTACTAGTGGCCATAAACAACCGAAAAAAATAAATAAACCTTCATTTATCTCTATTTTTACGGNAATCTAAATTTAATTTTATTGTTGGGCCTAATTTTTATAAAATTAAAATTTTCATTTAGGCTAATGGTTATAATCACAAAAAATGAGGTCTATAGGCCCTAAAGCCTAGACTTTGATGGTCTTACAATAGGAGAAAATATTCTGTGCTTATATTTTCAATAGAGCTAGCCATGCCTAAATAGAAAGTTTATTGGAGTANGGGTGTATACATATATTGATATGATTTTATTACAAAATTTAAATATAATGAAAGTAATGTAATTTATCCCTTATTTTGACCCAAGGGGGTTGTTCGTGTTATTTTCATCACGAAAAAACGGGCTGGTCAAACCAACCAAATGGCTATTCAAGTGTTGCAATGGGGTGGATTTCGGATTTGGACTTTAAAAGTAACAGTATTCACTNTTATAAAATTTAATTTGGGAACTTCATATACTTCAATTATTGGATTAATAATAGTTTCGAACATTCGATAATGTCTATTACTAATCTAAAGGTAATAATACATTGGTCTACCAGATTAGGTACAAGTCCAAATATNTTTGACCCAAGGGGGTTGTTCGTGTTATTTTCATCACGAAAAAACGGGCTGGTCAAAACAACCAAATGGCTATTCAAGTGTTGCAATGGGGTGGATTTCGGATTTGGACTTTAAAAGTAACTGTATTCACTCTTTAAACCAAAATAGCAATCACAGTCGCTTTCACTACACATCACACGTCGCTGTTTACGTATAAAGAAACCCCCAACCCCAAATCATGTGCGACTGGTGGTGGTGTTGCAAGGCCAAATCAAAACAAGACCACCACCACCACCACCACCACCATAACAATCCCCAAACCATACTAATCATTCAAAGTGACGATGACCAACATGAAAATCACTACCATCCAACCGCCGCCATCACAATGATCTTGACATCTTGGCTGAATCGCCGCCGCATACGGTACTTGTTCCTTGTCCTCTGCTCCCCAGTCCTCCTCCCATTTTTATGCATCACCTTTCCCCTTCTCTGCGCTGCTGAAATCTGTCTCTTTCTCTGCCGCCGCCGCCAATTGAAAGCTACGCCGCCTGAAGATAGTGGCGAAGATGGGTTGCCCAGCTGTGAGGAAGATGGTGGGGATGAAGGAGAAGGGAGATTGTTGCAGAGATATCTTGAAGATCAATTGATTCTTGTTGTTGGGTCTGTGTATGATTATGGCTGTGGGGATGAAGATAATGGGGTATTGGACGGTCGCGATGATGGGGTCCATGGGGATATGGGTGTTGAATTTTTTGAAAGTATTAGGACTCCTCTTTTGCAATGATACAAATTTGATGGATCTGATTGTATATATCACTATCAATGACCTCTTTTGATGTTTCTTCATGAATGTAGATTTTTATTTTTTGTATTTTTCTTTAAATTGAAGGAAATGAAAATAATGGGTTCTTCCAGAGATGGCTTGTCCAATTTATTATTTCATTTATGTTATTTGGAGTAATAGCATTTGATCCTTATCCTCCTCATGATAAGTGATTTAGAAATGACAAATGTGAGAGAATTTAATGTTGAATAAAATTTCAAAGTGATAATAGAATGGATTCCCCGGCAGATCGCATAGCACATGAACCATTTTTTCAAAATTAGGTTCGTCGGCTCTCCACGAAACCTGTTAATAATCGGATCTCTCATAAATTAAACATTCATTTGATATACACACTAGCGAAACTAGGTGAAAATCTTCAAATGTGTGTCAACAAATTATATTTTTTTTAGTTTGTATATAGTAATAATCAATCCAACAACAATCAACTTGTAATCTCATTGTGAAGATACAAGACATTGATGAAAACTACTAATCTGCTTTCCAACGTTGGGGATAATAAGGATTTCCTTTTTGGTTAGCTAAACAAAACTTGCATTCTTTGTTTTGCATCTCAAACTTTTCATGAAAGGATTGTCAGTTGAGTACATTATTATCAATGCCCGGGATACTTGAAATGTGTCTTTATATGTTGGTATACAAACGGAGGCGGTGGTTTAACTACAATTTATTATTTGGTCTCCAAATTGTTAAAAGTAAGTGAAACATTTATATTTATTTCCAGTGGCCAGTTATGGAAAGACACAAAGGCTAGTTACATGCCAATTTGAAGTAATTTCATGATATCATCTCCAATAGTACTCTCTATTTTATAGAGTTTTTTTTTTAAATAAAGACAAATGGTCAAAATAAAAAAAAAAAACTGACCAGTTGCCTTTGTTAGCTAGCGGGAGATGTAGATAGATAGATAAAGTGGAAGTGAAAATGTGTTGGTCTTCCAAACTCTTTTGTTGAGAGAGAGAGAGAGAGAGAGAGAGAGAGAGGGGTTAGAAGAAAAATGTTAAAAAGTTCACTTTTTACTGTTATTTTTTTTAATGATATATTTGGTGTTATGGGCAGGAGAAATAAACCCAAAATATTCAATTTAAATCTAAATTTAATTTTATTGTTGGGCCTAATTTTTATAAAATTAAAATTTTCATTTAGGCTAATGGTTATAATCACAAAAAATGAGGTCTATGGGCCCTAAAGCCTAGACTTTGATGGCCTTACAATAGGAGAAAATATTCTGTGCTTATATTTTCAATAGAGCTAGCCATACCTAAATAGAAAGTTTATTGGAGTTAGATTTTTAGGAATAGTTGTCTAAAATAGAGAATTGAGAGCCTATTAAAGATGCCTTAAGAGTATAGGACAAAAAATTGGCAAATATGTAAATGAATGTAAGGCCGACTTGATTGGGATGCCAATTAAGCCATTGCTTAGGTCTCCACATTTGTAAGGGGCCCCAAATTTTTTATAATTCTTTTAATTATAAAATTTAATTTGGGAACTTCATATACTTCAATTATTGGATTAATAATAGTTTCGAAAATTCGATAATGTCTATTACTAATCTAAAGGTAATAATACATTGGTCTACCAGATTAGGTACAAGTCCAAATAGCTCAAATAAAAAGCATTCTCTTTCATTATTTACGGGATAACTTTAACTCTAGAATTTATTTATTTTTGTATATTTTTTTCTAATTCCTACTGAACAGTAGTTTATCTCACTTTTATACGCCACCTTATTTCTATTCATAATTGATGAATGTGGTAACTATTTTTGGACATCTATCAACCATCTTATGGGTCCCAATTAAACTAACTATTTCTTGATATTTATATGTCCTATTTAAATTGGTTATTTCTCCATTGGTTAGTTAACCTTTAATATTTGGAGCATATATGCGAGAGACTTTTCATATTAAAGCTTACTGAAATCTAACTAGCCCCTTCTTTTCTCTCATTTACAAATTTTTTTAAAAAATAATAATATTATACATAGTACAACAAGGAATAATTTAGATTATATGAAGATATTTTGCAGTATTTTGAAATTTTAATTAAAAAAAAAACTAAAATCTCTAGATGATAAATGTTTGAAACATATAGTCTAATTGAATACAAAAACTTAATTTTACATCTAAAAAGTACAAAAAATAATTTTTAAATGAAATTATAGCTACAGTATTCATATATTAAAATCGAATTTTAGAAAGGCCCTATTTAAACTTTGTAAAAATTGGGATTAAGTTCTCCTTAGGAAACTTTTAATGAGTTAAATATGTCACTTAAACTTATTTGAGAATAAGTCATATTTTAATCTTTTATTCAATAGTTAAGTCTAAATTTTTTTTAATATCTCCAAAATGACTTTCCTAAACAATTATCCCTTTGTTCACGCTCAATGAAAATCAACCAGTAAGATTTTTTTTCATAAAATTTGAAATTCAAATTAAAATTTTTTCATATAATTTGAAATTCAAATTCATAATTCCCCCAAACTAAACATTCATCTATCTCTCTCTCTCTCATTCTCCCTCTTTGTCTCTCGACTGAGTGATCAATTTATGGTTACTGCAGTAATGAGAAAAATCCTAAAATCAATAAACCCATTTGTTCTCAGAATCCTAATCTTTCAAAACCGCTACCTCGGCCCCTTCACCACTTCTATAAAACCCAAACCTGATGGCCTGTCTTCATCCTTCTCCTTCTCATCTAATGGCGGACTTCAAGATGGTCAAAAAAAGGATGATAATATCTATGTTAAAGCCCATGAAAAGACGTCGTCGTTGTCATCATCATCATCAATGACCATGCCCATGGCGTTCGTGACCGGATCGATCGTAGGTAAAACATTCTACAAGCAAGTGACTACTAAAGAAGCTAAAGATGGTAACAGTTGGTCTATCATGCGAGATTATCAGCTGCCCAAAAAAAAAAAATAGTAACATGCTCAACGTGTCACTAATTTGACCCTCAATTTTGTTCAATATTCTATGTTACTACTTTTTTGGTAAGCATGTTAGTATTTTTTTTTTTTGGTTAAGCATGTTACTGTCAATATTTAATGTTACCATTTTTTTGAAATTTTAATATTGAATTGATTATTTCTTATTTTATTTTTTCAAAATATTAATATTGAACGTTACATTTTTTTTTGTATATGTATATATGTATATAGTTAGATAGAAGAGAGAGAAACAATTTTAATAGTAGTAATACTCCTTAAATTTAGGAGTTGTATATATCTATATAATAAAATAGAGTTGTGTTTGAATTTTGGAGACAAAAAAAGAGTCATATCACTTTGAGACAAAACATAAATACATTTAACGGACAACGTAATCCCAATATAAAAAACGATTGAGATCATCTCAAAAATATTAATCAAACAATCTACAATGAGTACTGAATTTTATTTTCCCGCCTAACAACGTTTTCTTTTTTAATTATCCTAAATCAGGACTTTTAACTTTCCCAAAATTCACGTTGTCGGACCACCAAATCACTCCTTTTCTCCCCTAAAACATTACATTTTTCTTACCAATAATCAAGGTTAATTGCCTAATCTATGTATCACTCAAATCTCTCTATTCTTTCTCCATATCTCCATTCAAATTCAAAGCAATCATGATTTTCTCACAAATCTCTCTCTCCAGTGAAAGCCAATTATTCTCCTAGCAAATCTCTCTTCCTCATTCCTTTATCGCCACTGAATCCGATGCCCCCTCCCTTCCCAGTTCTTTTTCCCCTCTTTTTGCTCTCATTTCAATCTCTTCTTTCTCCACCAACCATTGTTGGAAGTGACTCCAGGTTTCTGTGCCTCTCTCTCTCTCTCTTCTCTCATTTCCCCCTCTCACATTCCCCTCCACTTCTTTCTCCATTTTTCCTCTTCCTATATTTCAAGTCTCAGACACACACAACACACGTAGATCACACAAAGCACAACACACACAAATCGCACACAACACAACACAACCACTAACTCACCCACACCAACACGCACACACAACACAATACAACCACTCACAATCACTCTCTCTATCATATTCTTTGGTTTAAATTGCTTATAATTGTCTATGATTTGTTTGATTTGGGTTTGTGATGTGTTTGATAAGTGCAAAAATAGGCCATCACAAAATCTGACCTGTTTCTTGGCTTCGACATAGATTGCCTTGCGAATCCCCAACGAAACCAGCCATTGCCTCTACTTCTGTTAATCACCTCTATTCCTCACAAGCGTGTCTCACACACACTCTCTCTCTCTCTCTCCCGCCCAGCATCCCCATCCACCATGTGACGCCCCAAAAATCGGGGGTCCTATGTTAACCCATTGATCACCTGTCAACCCCTGGAATATTCGTGAATACCGTGTAACTTGATATCACGCAGTGATGCCCCATTTGTCAGGATCCATAATTTAACAAAATTTGGGCAGAGTCTTCTTTGTACGGGAAACTCTATCCAAAAAATAATTGTACAATTATACAACATTGACGACACAGGGTTCATTTATCCATACTTGTGACACCCCTAAAATCGGGGGGCCTATATCAATGTATGCAGTGTGACATTGACTTGTAGTAGTGTAAAATTCATTTATTGCAATGTGAATTTGGTTTGTAGCAATGTGACATAGGCTGGTATCAGTGTGACACTGGTTTATATTAGTGTGACATTGTTTGGTAGCACTGTGACATTGTCGTGTACCACTGTAACAATGTGACATGTACCGTTATGCCAATGCCACATGTACTATAGCTACTTATAAACACATCGAATTTATGCATTAAACATAGCTAATATAAGTTGAAATTACAATTTTTTTACATACAATACATGCCAAAAAACTAACTAAGCAAATATTTTACAAAAGATGGTTTAAAAGACACAAANATTGTTTGGTAGCACTGTGACATTGTCGTGTACCACTGTAACAATGTGACATGTAC